GGGGGGGGCGCTGTCTACCCCCCGGGCAAGCCCCCCCCCGCCGTTGCTCACTCGCCAATACCTCTCCGGCTTAGGGCGCCTGCCCTCCCCGAGCCTGGCGAACCCCTCAGGGGAAGCTGGTCTTAATAAAGATGTCCCCACGCACCCTGACACTTGGCTCCGCACAGTGTTTGAGATCCGGCTGCACGTTGGTCGCAGGCGTGGGCAGCAGGCGGACTCAGCTTGCCTGCACGGACTAGCTGCACGCGGCATCCTGCTACCCCGATGCTATCGTTTAGTGATGCACGTTGTGGGAAACGTGTAGGAAGCCCCTGCCCATGGACCTAGGTCTTGGGCCTTGCTGATCTGCGTGGGACTGTGGTCCGAGATGACGTGTTTCAGTTTCTCGTTGGGGGCAGAAGGACTGGAGGAGGACGAGCAACGTGGCAGCTGCAGCATCTGAGCAGAGTCCACGCGGGGCAAGGGTGGCAGCTATGGAGAGACGCCTGCGTGTCTGTAGGGAGCTCTCGCCTCCCTCGGACAGCCGCAGATCCCAGGGTCCTCCCCACGGAGGGGAGGTGTCTGTTTGCTGTCCCGTAGCTGGGGCCGGCAGCCTATTGCTGTCTCCATGGTCCCTCTGCACTCATCAGCTCAGGGGGTCTGTGGTCCAGACCCTCTTGGCTGTTGTGTGCCCCCTCCATAAAGCCAGAAGAGCAAGTGATTCCAGCGGATGCAACAAAGGGAGGTGCTATGGTGGATGCTGATCGCAGTAATAGTCCTGGCTGCACCCTCAACCCCACCCAGCGGCGCTGGTCCTGTTGTATCAATGGTGCCAGGACATTGGCCTTGTCGTCTTCTCCCAGAACGGCCCTCGCTGAGGCATCTCATCCCCAGGACTGCACCGGTGACTGCGCTGTGCTCCTCCCAATGCTGTCACCACCGAGCAAGAGGCTGCCACCCGGGTCTAAACTTGACCTTGCACCACCCGGGCCCAGAGGCAGAAGTGTCAGCCCCTGGCCAGGCTGATGAAGACCAAAGCTGACTTGAGACTCCCAGGGCCAAGCTGAACCCCAGGTGATTTCCATGGGCCGCGTGTGGAAGGGACTCCAGTGCGGAGATCGTGCTCTGATGAGCAAAGAGAGAAACCCACATCCTCGGGCATCCTGGGCACTGCCAACAGCATGGGAAACCCATCTGGGCTGCCAGGGCTTTGTGTGCCCATCGATCTCTCTCTGTCCTGTTTCCACGTCCTACACGCTCCATTCCTGCCTGGTGCTTGCTCTACCCCTTCTTGTACCGGGTCTGTACGTGACCATAAGCTCCTAGGACAGGCGTTGGTGTTTGCACACGGTAGCATCGGGGCCCCAGGCCTGGCTGGAGTCTCTAGACAGCAGTGTTGGATAATAGGTGTTGCAGCTGGGGTGGAAGGAAGGTGCTGGCTGTGCCCCTGCTGGTATCTGCTCTGCTGAGTGGTGCCAGCCGGGGGTCTCTGCCAGCCCCTCCGAGGCGATCCCAGAGCTATCTGCTGCCACTGGGGTCAGCAGCTGGCAGCGGGACCATTCTCCTTGGGTGCAGGCAATGCCACGACAGCTATTCTGTTCATTCGTGCAGCAGCTTTTGGCGATGATGTGGTCTCTCTAACAGGCAGAGCGACGAGAGGGTCAGGGAGCTGGGTTGGAGCTTGGGGGTCAGTTCCCTGCTGCCCCATAAACTCTGCATTGCCTTGGAGAAGTCACGGTGTGTGGGTGTGTGCTTCCTACCCATGGCGTGGGGACAGCGGTCCTTCTGTAGCACGCCCGGGTGCTATGAGGCATGCAGTGCCGGGGACATTAAGGCCCTATAAGCACTGCATAGAGACAATGTTTGATGGTGCTAGGAAATCCTTCAGGCTGCTGCGTGGGACCATGCTCCGAGGAGGGGAATCGTCCTGCGTGGACTAGAGCTCAGGACGTGTTGAAGCCCACCCTCCTGCACCCCCGACAGGGTGCATCCCCCTCCCCTAGGGAAGAGGCAGGGAGGAGGCGTGCTGGTCGGGCCCGCGGCAGCTGCACATCTTGGTTTTGTGCGCTCTTGTCTGCTGCGTGTTTTTAAGAGCCTACGTGCAAATCCCCACCCCGTTCTGCTGCAGGAGGCAGCCTTGCAGCGGGATGCCGGGCTGGGGGGTTGCCCTGGCTGAGCCTGGGGGAGAGGGGCCGGGAGATCCTGCAGCGAGCCTGTCGCCTGCGTCTATGGCCGTGCAGATCCAGTGGTGGGACAGCGGCTGCTCCAGCCCAGCATCCTCCTCTCCCCAGGCCTCTCCTGAACCCACCACTTGGATTCTGCATTGGGGTCAGGGTAGGCGTGGTGCGGCCTGATTGCATGGCTCTCGGGCCAGCCTCCCATTGCCCTGAGCAGGGGTTGGCTCGAGGGAAGGCCAGCAGGCTGGGTTTGAGCCATCGAAGTACCTGTGCAGCCCAGGGCTCAGCAAGCCAGGACTCTTGCCAGCAGCCCAAGCCCCCCTGGCCCCATCGGGGGCCAGCTTCTGTTTCGGAGATGCCGCTCAGCAGCCAAAAGGGGCATCATTCTGCTCCAGCTGTCTGGGGACCCCTCCAGGTGTTTGGGGACCCCCCCACTTCAATGGCTGGGTCTGTGCGAGGGGGCTCTGATGGACATAGGAGCCCAGGGGCAAGCCCAGGTCCATCCCGAAGCCTTGCAGAAGGGGGCTAAGACCCATTGCTTCTCATTGCAGGCAACGGGATCACGTTAGAGGGAGCTGTCCCCTCCGAACAAGACAGCCAACCGAAGCCAGCAAAGAGGGCCCGGACGTCCTTCACAGCAGAGCAGCTGCAGGTAGCCTGACTTCGGGTGGGGTGGGTCTGCGGGTCCAGGGGTGCTCGAGGAGCACCCTGCTGATGCGGCTCGCTCTCCCTCCCTGTCTAGGTCATGCAGGCACAGTTCGCTCAGGACAACAACCCCGATGCACAGACCCTTCAGAAGCTGGCGGACATGACGGGGCTGAGCAGGAGAGTCATTCAGGTGAGGGAAGCGCCGCCGGGATTTGATGCACGCGGTGTTGCTGCACCCGGGGGCTGGGCCGCTCGAGACTGCCAGGCCTCTCTGCGCGCTGCTCCATCAACGCCGGCATTTCCCTCACCAGTTATCCTTGGGAACTGCCGTGCCAGTTTAGCTAGATCCTTCGCTCTGCGTGGGTCGGCTCTGCATCCTCCATCCATTCGTTGCTCTTTTCGTTTCCCATTTTTTCCACCTTTGTTTTTCTTTTTCTTAACTCTTTTTTTTTTTTTCCTTTGGTGATGAACATTTAAAAAAACAAAAGCCCACCGCTGAGGCCAAGCCAGAGACTGGTGTGAAATGAAAGCTGCTTTTAATCCTCCAGCCCCAGCCCCTTTGCTCTGTCACTGAGACGTGCCCGTGGAGGGGCCTTTCCCCAAGAGCAAACAATGCTCCGTACAAAGACGTGTGTAGCTCGGACTACCCTGGGCCGCGGAGGCAGGGAGCTTGCTGGAGAAAACGTGCAGGTTGAGGGGTTTGAGGGTGCAGGGCTAGGAGGAAGGCCCAGAGGAAATCCCAGCCGCAGTCGCTGCAAGGTTGGTGGGCATGTATGGTGTGCACGGGGCAGCTCGGGTATCGCCGCACAGAGCCCGAGAACCCCCTTGGCTTTCACGCGCTGCTGACATGCTTTGTCCAGCCCAGACCAACGTGAGAGCCCAAACCCAGCGTGCCTGGCCAAAGGCACGCTGGGATTTCTACCCCGTGAAAACCCAGCCCGAGCCTCTGCTGTGAGGCTCTTCGATAAATGAAAGATGATCTATAGGCTGGGCTGTTTTATGCTTGGATATTTTTTTAAGGGTCCTTCTGATAGGAAATGATTTATCAGACATAATCCTCTGCTAAGAGTTTATAGCTGTTTCATTCTTTGTGATCCGATATCCCCGATCTCTAGCATGGAGAGAGGCGGAAAAGATGGTCTCTCTTAATGGAGTCATGGGGTTTTTTTTTTTTAAATTGATTATCTCTCAAATAAATGAAAATGTAGGGAATAAAACACAAATTCCAGCATGCAACCAATTGAAGAACATGTGGCCCGTATTCAGCCCGAAGGAAGCAGGATTCAGCATCCTATTAGTCAAAGCTGTCAGGTAGGATATTGAAGGGAGGCTTCTGGGCTCCATTAATGGGTCTGTACTGCAGACGTGTAGGGTATGAAGTTCTCGGTGGAGGTGTCATCTCTGCAGAGGTAGCCTGTGATTTTTTTTATTTATTTGTTTTTTCCCCCTTGTGCTGCCCCTGCCCACACTCGCACACGCACAGCTCAGCTTGGCTGCGTGGTGCTTTCACCCAAAGCAGCTGCTCTTGCAGGGGATGTAGGGTAGGGCCTGAGAGGGGCTTCCCCAAGCTGCCCTCTCTGAGTTTGCAGGCTGTCCCACCCCAGTGCTGGTAATCCCGCGGTGCCTTCCCACCGTCCCCTGCTCGCACCAAGGAGGACGAGAAAGCGTGTTCTCCCTCAATGCACCGGGAGTGATGGTAGCGTGACCGAGCTTAGGCAGCACAAAGAGCTGGGGGGGCACGCCCCAACAAGCCGACACGCGGGTGTGTGCAGCATCAGTGGGACCCAGGAGTGAGCCTGCAGCCTGGCTGCTCACACCCCAGTGAGACCGGTACCAGCATCACCAGTCACACTGTACCCAGCGTTTTCCCTGCATGTGGCAGGCTTGGCACAGACCCTGGGCAGGACACTTGGGAAAGAGGGAGGTCTCCTCTTTGATCCACCTTTCCAGCCGGTGCAATGCTGATGCCGGTTCTTCCATGAGAGCTGGTCCCGAGAGCTCGGCTTGGAGGTGGCTGCCGGTAACGTGCCATTAAATCTGATAGATTGTAAAGGCAGAAGTGGAGAGCGTTGGATCAGAATTCACATCCCGCCCCACCAGGACCAGCTAGGAAAACCAATGACTTGACCAGTGCACTAAAGTCACTGGATCCCCATCACGCAGCCTCTGCCAGCCGCGACGTAGTGCCAGCAAGCGACTTTTCCAGCTGACAAGCTGGCACTTTGAAATCTGCAGCTCCGTGCGGAGGGTTTGTTGGCAGCTAAGAGCAGCCTAGTCGGGTACTTGCCCATCCGCAGAGCACAGCAGACCCTTGCGGTCATCTGTGCCCGCCCTCTGCATCACACCTGCCACGGAGTTTCTCCCCCTGATTCACAGGCCAGTTGTGAAAGGCAGCTCATCTCGCTGAAGGGGGATCGCGTTGCTTTATTGCCTGTGGCAAGTGCAAACTGGCACTAACGATTCTGCTTCACCGAGCTAAAATTCTTGCTCTGCAAGACGTTAAAAATCAAGCTGTAAAGCCAACCAAACACAGTCCCCATGCACCGAGCTCCCAGCAGAGCTTGTCGTGGACACCCCTTTCCCCGAGCTATTTAAAACGAGATGGATTTTGCTGGGGTCGAAACTCAGTCCAGTTGTTTCTGTTGGTGTTTCAGGTTTGGTTTCAAAACTGCAGAGCACGCCATAAAAAGCACACGCCCCAACACACAGTGCCACCTTCGGGAGCCCCCCCGTCCCGGATCCCTTCCTCGCTGTCTGATGACATCCACTACTCTCCCTTTAGCAGCCCTGAGAGGGCCAGGATGGTAACACTGCACGGCTACATAGAAAGTAAGTGCTGACGTGCGAACCGGGGGTGGGATGTGCTTGGAGAGCAGACAGCGCAAAGGGTCCTTTGTGGCAAACGAGGTCTTTGACCCCATGACGAGAAGCAGGGTGCTCGGTTAATGGGGCTGTTGCATAGATACCCCGTGGAGAACTCCCTTTGCATTTACAGCGCGCAAACGGCGCCTGCGCTTTTCTGTCGGGTCGGAGAACCTCTGCCCCCCGCGGCTTTTTGAAAGGTCGATTCAGCGGAGAAGACCAAATAGCAGGGAGAAGCGGAGGGGTGGGGACAGGATTAGGTAGGGGAAGAAAGGTCCCCGGAGCCCCTTCTCCTTATCCAGGGTCATTGTCTGGGGTTTACTTTGCTGGCCTTTCGCCTCCTGCTCTTTCCTTTGGCAGATAACGACCGCGTGTTGGTGCCAGTGGGCGGCTGAATGGACGCGTTCCTGGGGATGGGGATCAGAAATGATTATTCCTGTAATCCCCCAGGCTGGTGGCTTGTTTTGGGAGCAAGAGCAGCGGTGTCGTTAACAGGACAGGTCCGATTCCTGCAGTGGAGCCGTTTGCTCCTGGGCAATTCGTAGGGCTCTTCTTTCCCTCCTTTCTGATTTGCGGGGATCTTATAAGCTGAATTCTGTTAAGCATCAGCGTGACGCCCCACTTCCTTTTCCTTGCCCCTGCGTCCTGACCCAGCCCTTGTTTGGTATCAGCTGCGTAGTCTGGAGGGGGATTGTTGTGTGCAGCACAGCGAAAGCTAAAATTTTGGCACGAGGAATAGCCCGTTGACGGTAACAGAGGCTGAAGCCCTCTTCTCATCCGCAGGTCAGGTACAGTGTGGGCAAGTGCACTGTAGACTTCCTTACACTGCTCCACCAGTGCACCTCAAAGCAGACATGGAAGGACCACTATCTAATAGGGGTGAGAAGGTAAATGCAGTCCCTCTTTCAGGCTCCGAGTCCCAGCGTCAGCTGGAGCAAAGCTGTGCATAACATCACTCCCCAGCTTCCTGCCGCTTGTTGTCTGAGTTCGGCTGATCTGCGGGGCCATCAGCCAGCCTTGCTTCATCCCAGTCCCATCCTGTCTGCCACCACTTCATCTGTCCTCTCATGACCGCCCCAGGCCCTGGGGTTGGTGACCGGCCACTGACAGCAGTGCCATCCGTCGGTGGTCCATTCGGCATCTCGTCTCTGTGAGCCGCTGGGCTGTTGTGCTTGGGGTGGTTGAGCTCTTGTCACCCATCCTTGTCTCCTCCCTTTCTGTGTGGTACTCGGTGTCTTCCCATGCTTCATTAATCAGCTGTCTGTGCAGGGTGTCAATGCTGGGGCAAACGGGCATTACTAACAACCTGGAGCAGCTTTCACCATCCACTGACCCATCAGCTGTCTATGAGTTAATGCTAGAGGCATCTCTTTGTGATGCTGGACCAACACGACTACTATTAACTACTAGGATGCTGCCTGTAGAAACTACCTGGCAATGAGGCAAAAGACGGCAGTGATTCTTATGAACACTTCAGATGCCCGTTGTGTGGCTTTATTGTTCACATGAGCAAATCCTCCGTGGCCAAGACTTCCAAAAAGTCCCTAAGGTTAGGTTCCTACTTCTTTATTTGGGTACTTATGAAGTACTGATCTCTCGCCTTTAGCTTTTTGGAGATCTTGGCCTCTCTTCCCAAAGCTGTTTGGATGGTATTTGCTAGCCTGCGATGACTGAGCTCTGGTCAAAACACTGTGGGTTGAGGACAACTTCTCGATTTCAGTGTGGCCCCCGGTTTGTTTTAAATGTTCATGATGTTTGCATGGCTGTATCTGCATGTGCCTCATGACAGTGTTTGCATGACAAGGATGCACGCTCATTTGGAGAACTGCACCATTGCCTCAGCCCTGATGCCCTCTCCCCATGCGCATAGTCCTGGGATTTCAGCGCAGCTCCTTGTTCAGGGAGGTCTCGGGCCAGGGGAGTCTGGAGGCTGCCTGTAAAGGTGCTCCCTTGTAAAACAATCCCTTTCTCCTTTGCATGCCTGAGCTCGGAAATGATGCCTGCTCAAAAGCCAGGTGTGGAATAGGCCTCAAGGGACTATTCACATCAAAGAGGACCCCACAGAAGTGACCCTAGGGCCTGTGCGAGGGGGAGGAGTGTGCACACACACACAGACCGGGCTGTTTTGTTCTTACGAGCAGAAGGACGAACGGGAATGGGTGAAAGTCCTGATCTCATCTTAACTGCTGGCATAGGTTTGCCTTAAGGGATGACTCAAAAGCTGAATTCTGCCTGGTATTAATATATTCCCGTTACCTCCTGTTCAGACGCCTGATGCACAGTACAGTTCCCCTCTCCCAAGGTGGCTTTATTCTGGGAGGAGGATTGCTGAGGCCTGGGTCCAAACCATGCTTTACAAAAAGAAGTAGGCCAGTGGGGGGAAAATCCCTGATTGAGCAACCCTCTTACGTCCATGTTCCTTAGACATGGGAGTCTCCTGTCTTGTTGGTTTGCTTCTGTACCAGCTAATGCTCCATTCACATTTCTTCCATTAGGTCATCCTATTTCAGTATTGACTGCGCGAACTCTTCCTCATCTGTCCATGGCGCTACCAGCACCACTGCCCCTCAGTCGTTGAAATACTGTGTCCAATCCAAGGCAACTAGGATCAGTCATGCTGGAGAAAGTCCATTCCCGCGTTTCGGTTATTCCCACCAACCAGCACCTAACAGCCGGTATTTTTCCCTGCCAGCAGCACGGTGTGTGTGTGTTGAGTGCACAGTTGCATTTTCACTTGTTTCTTGTGGACTTGTAGAATGACAGTGAGTCTCCCTGAGGTGATGCCATGCCTAGCCAAAATTAGTGACGACTGCACTTACACCATTCTTACTTCCAAAACGACAGAAATAGGGAGAGAGCTATTGAACGCTGAGCCAGGGGTAGCTCCGATCGTTACCTTCTAAAATAAATAGAGGAGAAATGAAAGGGGTTCACTGGATCGTTTTGCACCAGTGAAACCATTGAATCCAGTGGTCCACTCCTTTCTTCTGCAAGCAAGAGAGAGATCTGACGTGGGCCTGTAGCCTCAGCTGCTCGGCCCTTGAGCAGAACCTCTGGTTCCACGTTCTCCGATTGTTGCAATGCCATTAAATCAACAGAAAGTATGCCAGCAGGGAATAGAGCCCTTTGTCCTCAAAGTGCTTTAAAACCACAAATCCAGGAGCCGTCCCTGGAAGGTAAGTCCATTTTCATATCCCAGAAATGAAGACAGAGGTTGGGTAGCTCAGCCAAGGTCACCGAGGGAGTGGGTGTCAGAGGCAGGTGAGCGCTCTGCACAGCTCCCGACTGCCTCCCAGGGCTTTAAGCAAAAGACCCAGCCGTCTTCAGTGACCATCAGCCCAGTTTTCATGTCTTCCTCCCAGCTGGCCTGTTCCTTGTTCACTTGGAGTCACGAGTGGGGGATTCCAGCACGTACCTACCCCAGACTGGGACCAGGAAGCTAGGCATCTTTCTGGTCGGATCCCAACTGGAAGCTGGGCTGTGAATGTAGAGGGTTTAGTTTGCTTGGGTGCAGACCCTAGAGAGACCTTAGCAGCAAATGTGTAGCTCGTGAAAGCGGTCACTGGGTTGCTGGACCTGTGGGCACAGGCGCAGTGGGAACTGAGGCTGTGACTTCTCTTTTTTTTTTTTTTTTTTGCTTTAATTTTTAAAAACAGATAAAAACAACCTGGTTTAAAGAGTGCCTGCAGGCCAGGTAGGAAGAGCCCACAGCTGCAAGCACGCAGCGGGCAAGGACAGAGTGTGCATGGGTTGTTTAAAGGCCAGGCAAGTTGATCCGGCAGCTTCTTTTGATGCTTCCCTCTGTCTTTGTGTTGCAAGCCGTTGCTGGCGCGTCCCCGCTCCTGCCCAGAGCTCGCCAAGAAGAGCAGGCTGCTTGGGCTAAGACGGTCTGAAGTGACGGCTTGCAAAGGGCCAGGCTGCCCTCTCCCGTGCTGGCGAGTGCTTGTGCATGTGGGCGGTCTCGCTGCTAAGTCTCGCTCTGGGCCGGGGAAGAAGCTCTGAAATAGCGTTTCACGGGGTAGTGTTGCTATCTTTACTGTCTCCTCTTGATTTGCTCGTAGCTGCTATGTAACAGCTTCTCTCTCAGCGAGTGGCCTGAGCTGTACAGACCAGCGCCGGCCAGATTTGCTGCCTGTTGGGGGTTGTTTTTTCAGCTCGGTCTTAAATACCCATTCTTTGCACTCTGGAAATTCCTGGCTCAGTTCCCAACATGGGTTAGGATGGCCATCGTGCTAGCTGCGGGCAAGCCGTAGTCAAACGTGGCAAAATCTCTCTGGGATATGCCCCATCACGTCACTGTGCCCGGGCTTCCTGGGCACATGGCTCTAGCCATAGTGAGGCATGCTTGCCACAGTGACTTTGTATAGCAAATTGCAGAAGCAGATATGGATTCTGTCGAGGTGACTGTTAAGATCTCCTGACCTGAGAAGTAACTGAGTTGAGAGAGGAGGTGAACAGATATTGGGCACGTCTACATGAGACATTTACTGCAGAGCAGACTACTGAGCTTCACAGTAAGCGTCTTGCATCTACACGTGCAGGGCTATCAGGCTGGAGTAAACTAATGAACTTCACAACTATGTAATGCACTTGTGAATACAAGTACGACCTTGCTGTGGAGTGTTTTTACTCTGCAGCAATGCATGTGTAGATGCCGACCTGGCTGGCTGGGCCAGGAGGGTGCTTCAGTGCGGGACTGCCTGCCATCTTGCCCCGCACTGGAGCCCCCTCGTGCCCCAGCCAGCCCCTCTGTGGCACATTGGGCTGGGTCGGAGCAGCTTCAGGCTGGCAGCCTGACCCTGGGGCCCCTGCCAGCCGGGGCTGCTGTAACCTGGCTCAATATGCTGCAGTTCCAGGCAAACGTTCAAACAGCGCACCCGGGGGCAATAAACTCCGGTGCAAAAAAAAAAAAAAAGCGCCGGACTTTATTGCTTCAAATTAATTGCACATGTAGATGCGCCCATTGTTACGTACGTTCAGCGTTATAATGATACAGATGGTTAGGTCAGAATTCTGTCTAACTGCAGCCATCAGCGAGCTGCTTTACCTCCAGCTTAAATTAACATTTGAAAGGGGATATGAAATTAGAAGTCCGTAAAATACTATTATGCACCTCCTGAGAAGTGAATAATAGTTTCCATTGAACTTAACCAATCAAGAGACACTCATCTGCATCTGTGATCCGATTGGGCAATGTTGTTCCAGAATTCACTGTTATTGCCCCTCTGAGAAGGCAACGGTAAAAATTTGCGTCTGTTTTTAGTCACCGATAAGCCAGATCCCCACCCCCCCCCTTTTTTTTTTTTTTTTTTTTGTATGAAACAACGAGCAAGAGAACCGGGCATGCTTTTGTTGGCTGTAATGGAGCATTCAGAGTGTCGGTGTTTGTTGCAGCGAGGTTTTAGTTGCTTTGTGTCCACATGAAATGGCCTTGAAAAGCTGATGCGCTTGGGACAGTCGCCAGGCCCCCACCTCCTCCTCCTCCTCCTCCTCCTCCTCCATTCACGCTCACTCATTCCAGCGATCATTTCCTTGTGGGACTCGTGTAATAAACTCACGGGTGGCTCTTCGCTTTAAGACTGAAGACGAGATTCCACGCTGTAACCTGACCTGGTGACCCCTGGTAGTCGAGATTTCCGCAACCCGTTTTTTGTTGTTTTTACAAGAAAATGGTTCTATACGTTTATCTATCATCTCAGCAGGGCAAGGGGGAGCAAGACGGCTGAGTAGATCTGCTAAATAACCACTATAGTGATTGACCAAGTCAGACTTGTATAATGTACTGTACATCCAAGTTTTTGTAGCTGTTACCACTGACAGGATCAGAATGCGAAGCACAGGGCTAACGTAGCATAGATATTTCTGACCAAATATGTATAGTGTAAGTGGAGTCCCCACTAGACATGTAGAGAGTATTGCACCGTACAACTCATGCTCAAGGGAAATCTCCTCGATAAGTAGCCACGAGCAGCTTTGCTAATTCAGAAATCAGGCTCTGTTGTGTTAAGCCCAAATTGTTTGCAAAAACTGGAAGCAATTCAGCTTGTGCAGTTTTAGAGCTAATTATGTGTATGGAAAATACTCGACTGTACCAAGAATGTAAGAAATCCTCTAATTTATTCAATACTTTCTTTCACAATGCATTTCACATTGACTGTTGCCATTGAACCAAACCTTATCTCAGGTCATTTGCATTCATCTCCTGTCCATAGATATTTTTTTTTTTTTTTTTAAACCCTTCTCATTTACTTTGTTTGTTCAGTAATTGCCAAATGGGTCATGGTGCAGTACTGCAGACTCTGTGTATGAAAGTTTTCCAATGGCTATTTACAAAAAAAAAAGTTAGACTGAATCCTTTGAGTGTAGCTAGTGAGAGGCAAACTTTCCACTAGAAGTGAACAAGAGAAATACATACGATGGGGGTCTGAAAACGGAATGGTTTACAATTTTATTTCCAAACTATGTTGGTTTTGGGCTCAAGTAGGTTAAACCCAGTACCCCAGATAAAGGTGCTTACATGACTTATTATTTGGGATGGGGGAACAAGGGGAAAAAGCCTGCACTGCTGCTCTCAGTGATATGGTCAGACCTAGTAACGCGATGCCAACTATAGACACTTATCAAGAGTTTTATTTCAAAAGCCGATCGTTTCACTGTAGCATGTTGCAATGATGCATGTCTTGGCTACAATGGTTAAAGAAAATCCTTTGAATGAGTGGACAGTCAAGACTAATATTTATTAAAAAAAAAAACAAAAAACAAAAACCTAAAACTAAATTGTAAGCACTTTTTTGTAAAACCAATGTCTGTTTTGTTACATACTTTTAATGTTGTGCTTTGTAAATGTCTTATTTGTGTAATAAATAAAGTTCATGCAAGTAGAAGTGCTGGCACTTACATCAAGAAAATGATGTAATTCCATTTTATTTTATTTTTAAATACTTTCTGGCTTACTCATCAGGCAGCAACCCACCCAGTTTTTCTCTTGTATTATTTTGTTAAACTCTGGCTTCAGGAGAGTTCAACAAATGTTCGTGGTAAATGGATATAATTTCCTAGTTAGCAAACCAGTCATTAAAGAATGGTTCTGGTATACGTTATTACAATGATCAATCAATATCCAAGTACTGTGCAAAGGGAGAGGAAAGGAATTCACCAGGACAGCTAACTAGGACCCATGGAAATAATGTTGATTAAGACGGAGCTGAATGGCTTCAAACACTGAATTTGAGGTATTCTTTCTGGCAGATTGTTTTGAGGCTTAATCATGTGTTACGTATTGAGATCCTACTGCACTGCACACCTCTCATGAATATTAGGATAAGTATAATGTGCTTGCTTCCATGACTTCGCGTGAACACAACTGATTAAATCCTGCTTCCAGCTTTATTATGCTAACAAAAGCTACATTCGCGAAGGGGCTGGTGTAGATCCACAAGGAAATGTAGACTTAAGGATGAATCAAATTCACGGCTTTCCAAAATCGCAGTAAAAGCAAAAGCGGTGCTCAGCGTTTAGGTTTACGTCCAATGATCTCATCCCAACCTTTTCGGCAAGTCCGAACGATCCATTCGTGTTCGTCGTCATCTGAAAAGGAGACAAAAGAAGGGTCAGATATCACAGGTTCAGTTGGCTCTGCATAGCTCAGACAGGCGCTCAGTGCGTTAGTCCAGTTTGTAACATTAACTGTTTGGAAATAATGGAAAGAATTAGAAAGCTTTCCTGCAAACAGTGTCATTTCTGACTACCCGTGACTCCTGGCAGCGGAGTGTGCAAGCATCAGTAATGAACACTGAACTTAATTCTGTGCCTGTGCTGGTGTCCGATTATGAAACGTGCAGTTGGTGAAGTGTCCAGAAAACAAACCCAGTGTTTCACAGCTTTTCTTCCAAAACCATGATTAAAAAAAAAAGCCTTGTTATCCCAGATATTGACAACCTGGAACACCAGCTGATATAAGTGTTGTAGACAATCTTCTGTATCCCTCGCAATTATTCAATGTCTGCCATGGTAGTAAATCACAGAGCACAGTAATAGAGTAAAAAATGAAAATCACAAAGGCACTTGGGGGAAAAAATACCTATCCAGCAAAGGGTGAATAGAAATATTTTGAATAATTACAGAAAATTATAACTTGACAATCATGAATAGTTAGGGGTTTTCAATTCAAGCGATCAAAACAGCCTGTCTGCAAAACTCGTTAGACGGACTTATACCATGGTGGTGACAGGAAAAGAAAAGTCTGTGTAGCGGATCAGGTAAAAGAAAACGCAACAAAAGAAGCTATGCTACTTAAAACCGTACTCGTGCTTATTTGTATCCAAATTAAATATACTGTAGTCGAGCTACTTCTGCTTGCCTCTGGCTTTCCCAGTTAAACTGTTTGCAATTTGTGCTGCTAACCAGCCTGGCCTGAAATTGCTAGGCTCTTGATACCAGCAATGCTTGCAGCCCAATGACCTGGCCTTTTATTAGACTAGAAAAGAAACATGTCACTAATGAGGAAGGGAGTTGTCTGCCTTTGAGGTGGAACTTGAAGTTAAACTGCAGTAGCAGCACGTTCAGCATTAACGCTATATAAACGCAACAGTGATGGTCTAAGGAGATGTGAAGCAAGCCAAAGGCTTGTATAGACAGTTAGGTCCTGATTCTGCCAAAGTCTAAGCACATGCTTGAGCCCCCCTGATTTCAGCAGGCTTTGAATCAAGTTCTCCACGCTCTTCTCTTCTCTTTCTTCCTTTGTTATTGCTGCCTCCCCATACACATTTTCTTTTCTAGTACAAGTAGATCGAGTGCTTGCTCTTGCCTGCTTCACTTGAAGTGAATGCACACTTAGCTGAAGCACATGCCAAGGCTTCTGTCCCGAGTCTAACTGGTGGCATTTGTCCCTTTCCCCCTCTCCAGACAATAGTCAGAGGTGCGGGTGAATGACCAGAAGTTTTCCATGAGAGACGCTTTTCTCTGGGTCACTCTTCTGTGTCCGGTTACTGTTTCAGAGACAAAGCGGTTGTTTTGTGCTTGTGTCACCACCTCTCTCTCTCCGCTCCGTGCGTCAGGCGATATTTTGTAAAAGCTCTCTTTGCTAATCAGCAGCATGCATTTCAGTGACACCCTTCCATCCGGGACTGGGATGGCGGTGCTGCCTCCACCTGTTTAATTTAGCCTATAGATTTGCTTCAGCTGCCGTAGGCTGTGATACAGTGATGTCATTCTTATGCAAAGTCCTAAGTGGATTCGTGTCTGTCTTTGCCCATGGATATGATGCATCCTCTTACTCCCTTTTCCTTGTAATGAATGTGTCAGTAGCAACTCGCCCAGTAATGAACCTCTGAGGAAATAAGCATCACTAGAGTATGCTCTTTAACAGGAAAGACGTTAAAGAAAAAAAATAGATATTTGTTTAAGGTCTGGGTCAGGGGTCCCTACACAAAGATCCTCCTGAAGTCTGTAGCAGGAATATAAAAGGGTGTTGTCAATAAATTGTGTTACGCCTGCCCCCAGCTCTGGCTGTTTCTCATGCCAGCTCCTACTCCTACGAGCTAGATGTTGTGGAGATGGGCCCAGTAAGTATCTCGATGTGACAGTATTGTGGCTGGTGGTGTGCTGCAGGCGTTTGTGGTGGTACTGCCTTGATAGAAGAGCTGCTGTTCCAGGTGTGAGGGACGTTGGAAAAATGTAATTCTGTCCGTTTCTGTCGAAATGAAGAAATCAGCCCAAATCTCTGTCTGCTAAACATCCCTTGTCACTTATCCTGGTATCTTGTGTCTTAATAAGAAGGTGAGAAATCAGATGAGCTGCACCAAGTAAAACTGCCTTCCTCGAAAGACATGTATATGGGCCTGTAATCGTGGTGCTCAGCTGACCAGTATGAAAGGCAGATTCAGATGATGATTTTTCACCAGGTGCTGGGTTCATCCAGACTGGCGCAGAATAAGCCAATCTTTCAGGAGACAACCAGATAAAAAATGCATTTCCACTAAGGATTTTAGATTCTCTTCCAATGCAAACACTACCTTGGCTCAGCTTATGCGGTGCTCTGACTGTGCAAATTAAATAGTAGTAAATAAGCACTGACAAAGACTGTGACAAATGATGACTTTCAAGGTGAAGTCCAAGTTGACTCGGCTAGTGTTGATTTCAGTGGTGTATTATGGGAGAGGGTTAATTAAAAGCATCTGATTTTCCTTGCCTGTGCTTAGTACTTTGCATCTCTCTGCTATCTCCCCTTCTATTTCTCTCCTCTCTACCCCGAACCCTGTGCGCTCTCTACCTCTAGCACGTTCCTTGCTCATTCCTAGACACCATCTCTCTTGTATCTTCCTTGAGTGAGAGTGACCAAACTCCACATTTCCTTCCAGGCAGCAGCGTACCTTGAGCTTGGAATATTTTCAGTAGGCTTTTCCATCCCATCCTTCTGCACTCTCACATTTTATTTGCCACTGAACTTCAGTAAAGGAGCTCCTTACTGAAAACTGAGTGGAGAATTGGAGAGAGAACCCGAGTGGAAAAGAAAGTGCAGAGGATCTGACCGGGCTTGGCTTCAAGCCCCCATCCTCCAAGTTATCTCAGTGCCTTGTAATCCCTATTTCCAGCAGGGCTGTGTCCCTGGAAGGTAGGCAAGACACACTGGTAACCAAAGAAAGAAAACAGATGAAAGGACTCTATAGTCCCAACAGTGAGGAAAATGTCCAGGGCTACTGTCCAGTCAGTGGACATCGCAAAGTTTTCCAGTGGCTGAGGTCAGGACCAAGGGAAAGGCCCTATCCAGGACAGCTAGAACTGCAAAAGCAGAGCTGAGAATGGCTCTAGGGGCTAGCTACATGTAAAGAGGCAGAGAAATATTAGAATGTAAAGAGTTAAGCTATGGTAAAACATACTTTTGCCACACTAAAGGAGACTGGTTGATAATTACTGTAGTTTTAGGGCTATTTGAATCAGTGCAGCTGCAACCTCTTCAGTAGTAACCCCTGAAACAAGACAAACTGGGTTTATTGTACTGAACAAGTCTTAAAGCTCCTCCCTGATTGTTAGTAATTGGCAGCAATGGACTTAACAGCCTCTTGACTACCCTTTTTACACTCTACCTGACTGTGCAGCTAACAATTTAAATCACAGATGCCGATCCTTCTTTGTGGCAGCTGCTTGTTAACTGCACGCTCCCCTTTCTCTGTCACTGGCTGCTTCCATAACCCTGCAACACCAGGGTTAGATTGGAGAATCACATTTCATCAATATTTAAAATGGAATTAAACCTTGAAGTTTGATTAATGCTGCCAGATAGCGAGTTGTAATTACTATTTTGCAAATTGCAATTGTTCGAATATGTTAATATGATTGTCTAAGCACATCTTCACCTTCAGAAGTAATTTTCCCTTTAAAAAAAGATTTAAAAAAACACAAACTCTTTAATCAACTGTAAATTATCACCCTGTGCACAATGAGGTGTATGTGGGTTTTTATGTTGCATGTTAAATTTTATTTCAGCTCGTTTCTCTTTAAAAGTTTGTCCTTTTTCCCTTTTTCTCAGTGGCCTCCGCAGAGCACACGGGCATGGAAGAGATTTTGTTAAAACAGGGACAGATCACGTTTACATGCTGAAAGCAAAGCAAACGGCTGGGCATGAAAACTTCAACGAAATCTGAGCGAGCCCAGACTGCTTTCATGCTTCCCGTGGGCTAGATTCTCAGCTGGGATGAATTAGCATAACTGCTCTCTGCTTTTTTATTTTAGATTATTGTTGTCACTAAGTAGGGACTGAGGTCTCCAGAAACCACCCCAAAAACCATCTGCAGCCCCTCCCTGGCAGCCCTGACTGCAGCCACTACACGCGTGGAAGCTGGAGAGGGGAATTCAGCTTGTAAGACTTAATGAGTGTACGTTAGAG